TTTTTTTTGCAATGCGGGTCTTAACTATTTCTGTATTTTGCGTACTTCAACCCTAGAAGTTTTTGTTTACGTTTAGACAAAGAGAGTTTATTGTGCATTAAGCACATTCTTGTCAAAAAATTATGCGTATTTATTGTAGATTTTCTCCAAACTCTGTACACGTCTTTGATTCAGTTTCTCTATGTCGGAGCTCGCGCGTGTCTCGATACTGGCGCCATGTTTGTTCGGAGCCGATGCTTTGGCGTGCATTGTGTCAGTTACCTCGTGAATTCCGTCTTTGTTCCGCTGAAGCAGAATCGTCACAGCTCCGTAGTCACACATCCGAATGTGGTACCGTACGATGGAAGGATGCGTTTTCGGAGAGGTATCGCTTGTGGAGGAATTGGCACGCTGGAAGGTAAACACTGAACTTGCATCGCTCATCTGTTTCTTTTTTTAGATAATAATCATTTAGGTGCGTAGTACGAACATTTACGGGTCATACGCAAGGCATCACCTGCGTTCAATTTGATGATGACAGAATTGTTAGCGGTTCTTCAGATACGACAATACGAATATGGGACTTGCGCGGGTCCAGTGACGTGGGCAGTAAGTGTTTGCTCTGTGATCTTAGAGACTTTGACGAATTTCTTCATACCATACTATCATATCGGCCTGACTCCCCCTCAGTTTTAGATGAATGTGTGGAGGAAATGTTCAGAAAATTGTTGATAAGTTTCTTCGAACGAAATATCTTTCAAGCACTTAGCATTTATCAAAATTTATCAAAATCAAGGCCAACGTTTTTTGCCTTCCTTCCATCGCCGAAACACTCCAGTCGAAGTTGATGATGCTATAATCCAATATACGGTATTGCAGATCTCGGCACTATGGCGCTTAATGGCCACTCAGCAACTGTTCGCTGCCTTGACCTAAACGGAAATGTGCTGGCATCTGGTTCAAATGATTTTTCCATAAAAATATGGAACGTTGATGTTAATCCACGATGGTCATCGATAGGCTGTCGCAAAACTATGCTAGGTCACTCCAATTACGTCCGCTGCCTCCAGGTATCTTCTTCTTTTGGTCCTTTCTTCTAGTTTAGTTCTGGCCTTGCAGATGGATCATGAACATTTGATAAGTGGTTCATACGATATGCATCTTAAACTCTGGTCGCTGAATACTGGAGCATGTGTGAGAACCTTAGTGTAGGTGACAGTCACACTTTGGTTTTTGTTTATTCGCATTTTCAAATCGCTTGCATGCAAAGTGCTAGTTTTTTTCTTCAAACTTTTTTATATTCTTTTAGAAATCATCATTTTTTGAATTCAGTGGGCACAACGATGCAGTTTTATGTGTGCAATATCGTGATCTGGAATCCCTAGCTGTTTCTGGATCAGCAGATAACTCTATCAAGTGTTGGGATACAAGGACAGGAAGACCAGAAATGACTATACATAATGCTCATGATAATGCGGTATTGCAATGTTATCTACTTTTCGATCCTGGTGGTGTAAAATCCTTTTTTGAAGGTCACTTGTGTTCGCTTTGATGATCACCGAATTGTTTCTGGCAGCGTTGATCGAATGATCAAAATGTGGGATGTAAGGACAGGAAAGTTAGCTTTTGCATCATTTGTCCATCTTCCTTGATTTTTCGTAGCCTATTTGGACTGTCTCAATCTTATACCCATCAGGTGCATGCACACAATAGATTGGAAGCTGGCTGAAGGTCACACTGGTGTTGTTCGATGTCTTCAGGTCGATACTTGGCGCATAGTGAGTGCTGCAGATGACAGAACGATTAAGGTACCCACCTTATTACCAACTTCCTAAAACCCGTTTTTTTTTCTGAACTACTGTTTGTACAATGGAACAAATTAGCTGATCGACTGAGTTGTTTTTTTTTTCAATAATTTATTACTCGTGGAATGTATTTATGCTAATCGTATGCCGGAAAAGTGAATTACTCATAGCAGCAAAAGATAATAAAGCCGCGCCATAAATACGATCAAACAACGCGTATTTTTCAGCTAATCATTCTAAATCTCATCCATGTAGCTTCACTTACTGATTGTTTGAAAGTTGTTTTCATATGCTTCTCCATCTCATTTTTGACGTCTGCTTAATTTCAAGGTTTGGAACGTGGATTCATTGCAACGCCTGTGTACGTTACACAGTCATGAAGATGGAGTTACATGTGTGCAATTTAGCGACCGTCAGATTGTTTCTGGGTCGTACGACAAAACTGTGAAGTTGTGGGATTTTAGCCGCTTCTAAAGGTGCATTGTTTCGGCTGCAGTTTCTGATTTATACAATTACCATTGCTTTCGTCTGTACATTATTGTTTGAATTACGCCCATTACCCAACGAGGTGGAAAATCTTGTCGGTCTTTATTGCTATGTTAATACTCTAAATTCCATTTACGAACATTCAGTTTCTTATCCAAGTAAATCTTACTGTCATCTTTTACTCTTGAGTGCTGTGCCGTCTGTGATAAGCATCCGAAATGCTCTTCTTACTTTACAACTTGATAGTTGTCATGTTCACTTAATAATATTCATCCAAGCAATTTTTGTCATATTGTATGTACTTCGCTTTCCTCTCAGAAGAAGAGAACGGCTTTGCATTAGTCAAAACAAATTGTAGTCTATAAATTGCGGGCTTCTACGCACTCACTAATAAACTTTCTTTGAAATAATGTCTTGTGAAACAGTTCAAGGTAATATTGTACCTTTACTTTTTAACGCTGGAAGATTGACCTTTAAGATGGTTTTTAAATACTTTTTCGTCGAATCATCGCACATTTTCTCATTTTTCTACATCATCAAATAACTTGAACCACATTATGTACAAGCCACGTTTTCTTACACTTTGTTTATGTAGTATACTAGGAAATGTGCTCAAAAATTTAGCACAAGGTTTATCTTGAAGTTTCGCTTATAACTGTACCTAACCGTCCGTTTCGACGGGAAACCATCATTCCAGAACTCCAACTTTTGTAGTACAAAGTTGGTTCTTAAAATTCTTCGCTATACATCTTTGGAAAAACTATCATCTGCGGTGTACCGACTGCTTAGTCATGAACAGACAATTCCATGACTGCATTTTCACCCTGTAAACTGATCATGTATAGTTGTAAACCAGTTTTTTTGTAAATA